CAAAATATGTCATAAACATACACATGCACCCACAGCAAACAAAAAAATATTAAAAAAATTAAACAAATATATGATATCATAATTCACTGTAAATATGTATTCATTACTCTTTAAAGTCTGTGTGTTTTGCATGTAATTTGTTGGTGTGATTTGCAGTTAATGCTTATAAGCATCTCGCATTTATAGTACACATTTTTTTATTTTTTTTTTTTATTTCTTAACTGAAAGTTAACATTTTGCTTTCATTTAAAAAAAAACGTTTCTGATTTTTTTAGATATGGAAAGGTTTTAACTTTACTTTTAAAGAAAACTAATCGTTAGTCATTGAATGCTATTGATTAAAATTCATTGTATGGTCATCAGGGATTTTATTGTCTTCTTTCTTGATAATTTGTGTAAAGTTTAATAACGTTATTGAACAATATTTTTTTCATTATATGATAAATATTTAATTTTTAATACCACTTTTGTAACATATTGTTGAAATAATTTTGAATATATTTGCTTTAGTTTAAAATTAAAATTATCATAAATGGTAAAATAAAAAAACTATCATTGTGTGAATTGTATTCGCTTCAAGGTAAATTGTATTTTTGCTTTACTTTATTTTTTTTTTTTTTCAACCTGCATCATTTTGTTAATTGTAAATATGTTTGGAATTATCACTTATGGTTTTCAAACACAATTGTTTTACATCTAAACATTATTTATTTTTTCATATACATATATATATATATATTTTTTTTGTATTTTTTATATTTGTTCGATAAATAGTTTTATATAGTCAGTCATAATATATTGTCTATGTTGTATAAATGCTGTAGTTATATTTAGTTTGGATTACAAAAAGAATTTGCATAGCCTTGCAATTAGTTGCCACGCACATGCTTTATATTACACTGTACTATTAAGCGTAGTTATGTAATCCAAAGTAAGTATATTAATCTATTCACCTACAATATGAATACACATACACTCCATTACATCAATCATGACTGTATATCACTTATTTATTTATATTCCTTATTGAAACATAACTAGAATAACAAATTTTTTAAGAAGTGTTCATTAACTTTGATCTTTTAAATTTTTTATTATTATAATTAATTTTGGTTTCTAACAATATTTATAGTATATACTATATTGTTTAATAAAAACAATTTGTTATACCAATATTTTTTTAATCAAAGTTTTATCATTTTTTTATGGAATATATTAATAAATATTGCAGAGCCTAAAACTTTATGGCAAAAATAAAAATAACAGTGTTGTTATTCAAAACCTAGACCTACTATATTAATTGCCAATCTATATGGTAGGCATTGTGGTAGTTTGTCTTTCATATTTTTAGTTGCCTTTTTTCTTTTTTAAACCAAAAGGTTGTTTACAGAAATAGATATTCAAGTTTCTACTAGTTATCTAGTTATCCTTACAATGCATAATAGATCATATAAGAAAAGTTGGTTGTGGATTTATTTTATTTGTGCCGACATTTTGGTCTAAGTTTCAGGCCTTCATCAGGATTCAGCAAAGACCAAATAACAAATGAGTACTGAGAAAATAATAGACAGTAATAAAATAATATGTAGTAAAATAATTTTTGAGTAGTTAAACTTAATATTAATAAATTTATGGAAATTAATGTTAAGTTTAACTACCTTCATATTATTTTTCTGTACTATTTCATCTACATTATATTATTATTACTGACTATTATTTTCTCAGTATTTATTTATCTGATCTTAGCTTAGGCCTGATGAAGGTCTGAAACTTGAGCCAAAACATAGGTACAAATATAATAAATGTTATTTAATTTTGTGTACTTCCATGACTACATTCCCAACCAACTTCTCTTATAAGAATCAGCAGTCAACAATTTCTCCATCATCTTAATAGATCATGCTATAGACCCCTCATGAAAAATGGTTAAATGATCTTGTAATTAAAGATATGTTTCTACTGTTTATAGCTAAGAATATAAATTATTTCAGATAGCATAAATGAAAACGAAAATTTGAAAAGCTATATATCTTGTAGCAAACTGTTAATAAATAAGTTTCTTGTACTTAACTGAAAAAAGTTTCTGATACTCAAGCATATAGTGTTTTTATACACACCTTACATATACATTGATATCTTTATCTTTATTTCTTCAAACAGTTAATGGAGACATTTTGAAATTATTTTAATATTGCTGCATGGATAAATTGTGAAAGAATTTTTGATGATATAAATAAGTGAAAAGTAGATGAAGTTTGAAAACCAGCAATGGGCTTTTATATTTAATGTTCTATAAAACAAATTAAATATAATTTCTTAAAACATTTTAATCAATGTTTTTAACATTAAAATACTTAGGCGAATTTTCAACTCTTCGTCTAACAATTTGGAATTAGTTATTTTACTGTGAAAACATATCTTGATATTTTTTCTACAACATCTTTCTAGTATTTATTACAATTTATAGTTTTATAGCATGTAAGATATGTGTTAATTATTTTTAAAGTTTATTTTAAAAAATTTTCATTGCAACTAAGTAGTTTTAAATTTTTATTTAATTTTTGCTAATAATGTATTCAAGCAACAAACATATAAATGTATGGTTTATAGGAGAAAATGTGAATGAATTGGCTATTTACTGTCGGTTTAAGAATTTTTCCAAATGAGACTTGGAATACCAAGGATTTATTTTAAACTATGATAAAATATATATAGTGAATGCTATTAATATAATAGTAATGCTAAAATGTTAAAAGAAAGATTCATTTTTAAAAATAAACATAGAATTTGAATTTGAAGAGGTTAAAAATTGTTTTTCTGCTATTATGACTAAATAAGTTGGTATGATTCTAAAAACTATTGATGAAAATTATAAAGGAAATAGAACTTAATTCTATGCAAATTGTACATTAAATGTTCTAAAAATAATTCAATAAACTACTGCTTGCGAAGAATTCTGGGGATCTGGTGGGCTGGGAGGATTTCTTAGGAAGAGCTCTGGAGTAACACTGGGCAGATTCTTATTCACCTTGAAGTAAGGAAAAAGAAATGGAAATGGATTGGTCAAACTTTTGCATGTTTGCGCCCGGTGCTGTAATTAATATTTCCCTCTCATAGCTACACTTAAAGCTCTTTTTTCTATCAGACCAGCCTAAACTAAATAGCAAAATTAAAATTTATCGCAGAGTGTAGCCGTTGTTTATGTTTATAATTCATTATTAATTATAACTGTTTATAAAAATAAATGTTTTCAATTAATATTAGTTAAATTATAAACAATATGGTAATTTTTTATAGTTATTTAACGCTCTAAATTTTTGGTGTTATGGAAAGTCTGGTAGCACAATCAAATCTGAGCTACCAGTGGTATATGCTGCCTGATCAGTCAGTCTTGTGTGAGTCACTGATGGTACGTGTCAGCCTTAAAAGGAAACCAGAAAGTGCCATCGAAAAAGAAGCTCTGCAATAAAATCCCAAGGAGCAAGAAGATGAAGAGAGACGTAGCATGGATGAGTTTAATGATTTCAGCAAAAAAAGTGGTATGGAACACATTTGTAGATGCCCTGTGCTCCACCAGGAGTCAATGATGATAATATAAATAAACAGTAATAATAATTTTAGAAGTGAAACCCCTTTTAAGTTCTATCCTGCACTTAATACTGGATGAAACAAATATGGATATTAGAAGTTGGTAATTCTTAAAAGAAAACTTTGAGATAGTTTTATAAAATAATGATGGTATGCTGAGATATTTATTATATGGTTTTTGTTTTCAGCTTTAATAAATGAATATCCCAAGAATTTTAACTGTGGAATGATATACCTCAGATAATTTGTAATTTAAGAATGAATAAAACTGATATGGCACAATTTATAGTAAAAAAAACAAACAATTATTTTACATAAATATATTATTCTTACATTTTTATCATTTTTTTTTCATTATTGTTATATTTGTTTTTTTTTTATTCCTTCCATTTTGATATTTATGATATCATTTGTTATAACATCTGTTATAACTGCACAGTGTAAATTTATTTCAATATTTTATGTCTTAAATGGTTTTTAATTTTGTTTAATGAAAGAGGACCGCAAATTTGTATTTGTTGAAAATTAAATTAAATCTGTAAATACAGTAACTTTGAAACAATTTAGTTATAGTGAACCTGTTTTATTGTCAACAGGAGGTTATATAATTAAAAAAGACTTATTAACTTGATGTATTTCCCAAGTATGGTTTTCCTGAAGTTCTTTGGATGCTGGATTAAATGTCGTTTAGGCGCATTGCAACATATAAGGTATAATTTAAATAGAATAATGAGCCATTGTATTTTTGATTTTTTGAAAATTCAGTTATTTATTATTATTATTATTTAAAGAATTAAATTTGAAGATATTGTTTTAAGTTGCAACTAACATTTTAGATATTCAAAAATTTATTTTTTCTATTAATATTAAAGGTCAACAAATTCAATTTTGTGGTCTGTTATTTCATATAAATCAAATTTATTATAAGTTTTATTAGTGTATTTAGGATAAATCATGTTTAGTTTTGTTGATAAACTCCTAACAAGCCTTGAATACTGTTATGCGGTCCATGAGGAATCATATATATATATATATATATATATATATATATATATATATATATATATATATATATATATATATATATATATATATAATAAATGGAAAATTACAGACAAAAGATAAAATATATTTAATTAAATATCTTACCATTTTCATTATTTACTACTTCATGTCAGTATTAAAGATTTTATAATTTCATTATCTCTGATTAATTATGAAATAATTATAAAAACCCCATTCCCATAAAGAAAATTTTTTTTTACTATTATTGCTTTTATTTAATGCTGTTGATTTTTTTTAAATGATCTTAGTTAATGAACACAATTATCTGTTTTTTAATCTAGTTATGTAATTTTTAAATTATTATTTTTATGTTACTCATATTTTTTTCCTACAATTTTGTTTATTAGAGTGAGGATGTCGGTGGCAAAACGCTCTCAATGCTGGCAAATCAAGGCGGTAAGCTCCGTAATCTGTGTATAGCAGTGGTGGCTACTAACATTGCTCGTTTATGTTAATAGTTGTAACATCTCCGGTGTTTGCTTTGTGAAATAATTTGACTTTTTATTTTCTCAAACATTCTTATTTCTTCATATTAACTTCACAATTAAATGTACTAGACTATTAATTTTCTATTTCATCTCTATTAACCGGGTTCATATGAGATTTCCTTTCTTCCTCTTAGCTTAACCTATTTCAGATCTAATTAAATCATTTAGAAGGCTAGATTGTGTTCTTGCTATAATCTCCTTTGGTAAAAGAAGTATTTTGTTTCTTTTTGTTATATTTTCATTTTTTTCTAGCCTGGAAAAAGTATGTGTGAGTTAAAATGAGAGGGAGAAATTAATTTCCTGTTAATTTGGATATTTAGCTTTGAAACACTAATTTTTGACCACACCTAAAGCATGTTATATTCTTTGGGGTTGATGTAAAGGCTTGTATTGTGTTATAGAGCCACGAAGTCGGAATGAGATCACTTGTCATGTTGGATGAGCAAGGGGGTAAGACCACGACTCCTCTCTTATATGTTATATAGTCACTTTTATTTCTTTCATCAAGTTAGTCCCTATTCCTACAGCTTTGATTTTCTTTCTCTTTGTCTTTCCTGCATTTTTAAACATTTTTTTTATTTTCATTTTTATTTTTTAACAGCCAGTAGTATTAGATTATGTTTTAGCACATTTTAGGCACTAAGGCATAATTCTATATAATTTATAATAAAAGTTATTTGTAATATGATTCTATTTTGTCGATATTCAATCATTTATAGTATTATAATGTTGAAACTATATTAGTTATCTTGTTTACTATAAATGTGCTAATCTACTGCAATGAAAAAACAATGCAAGTGATAGCAGGGTCGGAACTAAAATTTTGGCGAGGAGAGGCTCGTTTAGTTTTGTAGCCTCTTGATTCACCTCTTCCCACCGCAGTGAAACTCAACATTTTATGACAGTATTTTAGATAATATATTTCAAAATAAATATTTTCTTATAAAATTAACTCATTTTATTGAATAAATTATTATAGAAATATAGAAATAAATATATTTTACCAAAGCTAAAAAAACATTTTCTCGAAACATACTTCCCTTTAAATTTTTCTGCCCGGAGCAAGTGTATCCATTGCCCTTCCCAAGTTCCGGCCCTGGATGATAGATTGGTTTAATATTCAGGTTTATTATATGTGAGTAACATTTGTGAATTGTTCTGTTTGTTTATTTGTTGATACTCCAAATAATTGAAATTATAATTTGTTGCAAGTCAGATAACAAATTTCTTTTATATTATATATGTATATATAAGTTTGTATGTGTGTGTTTATAATATATATATATATATATATATATATATATATATATATATATATATATATATATATACATATACACACACATGCATACACATATAAATACAGTTAAGTCAAATTTTTCCATTATAGAGTAACGGGACAGAAAAAATGATAAGAAAATGAAAATTAGTGGATTAAATTTGTATTTCATGAATCTTATTAATGATATATATTTTTTTTCATTTAAATAGAAGTTTTGTTTTTAAATTCACAATATCATATCTTTCTGAAATTCATAACAAATTATAATTAAATATATAAATATATTACATTTATTTTTACTGAAATAGCCAATATATTTTTTATAATTAGTACACATATAAAATGTTAAACTCGTATATAAAAAGGAAAGTTAAAATTTTTAATTACATACAATATTAATCTACAATTTTTGTTTGAACCATTTATTGTTCTTTAAATTAATATGAAGAGACTAAATCAGTACTTGTCACTACTCGTTCGAAGACTTTCTTCAAAATAAAATCAATGGTGCCACTCTTTCCACATATCATTTTATTGAAAATGTGATGTCTTTTATATTTATCAAGCCATCCCAACTTCAAAATAATTTTCATATAAATTGTATGTGACTCCTAATGGTTTTTGTTTGATCAGAGGGCCAGAAAGAGACATGTAACTTGATCTCGACGGCAAGTCCTGAAGTTTTAGGACTTTTTTTTTCTTTATAATGGTGATAATTCTTTTTCTAATTTTGAATTGATTGAACAAGTTTTCCAAATGGATTCATATCATACATCTCCTCAACTTTTTTCTTTTAAAGTTAAATTTATACTAGTTGATATTTTTCCATCAATCCAACAATAACAATGAAAGATTAAACTTATAATTTATTTTACCAAACCAAATCACCAGAATATGACCCTCATTGGTTTCATACTCTCTGTTATAGTTATTAATAAACTGAAATTCATAATACTATCAAATTATTGACAATTTTATGGGATTTAAAAATTTGTCTACTACAGAGAGAAGCTATAAAGATAGTCCAGTCAAGGAATGAGGTATAGAGTGCATTAGCAGGGACCTAAGCAATTCCTTCAGAAACTTGTTCATGGTGCATAGGGTGTGAAAATATCAAAAGTCTTGAAGTCTAGATGGTGAGTTCAGAAGGGGGGAGAAGGAAAGGTCACAATTTTCAGGTTTCCGCTTATATCTCGAAAACGGTGTTATACAGGGTAAATCGTCAGATTATAAATGAAAGTATATAATATTATCTAAAACTTTTATCCTATAGGTTTTTCCCGAATTCTCGACCCTTTTCGAGCTTCACGCTCAGAAAAAGTTGACATTTTCGGGGGAAAATAAAACATTTTTCATCAAACTTCTCTTTGATTGTCTAAGCTATACATCAGCGAAAGGGATTCATTTAAAAGAAGTTTAGATACTTAAATTTCCTATTATAATATATATACATATGCAAATTAATCTCCAACCAAGCTACAGTTATAGCTATTTTAAACTTTTTCATAAAATGTTGTCATTTTCAGAAAAAGTTGTTTGTATCGTATTCTTGACCAACAAGTTTTCTTCCTTTGTCTAATAATATGTGTGACCATACATTAAATCCAACTATTAAATAAAGTAGAAAAAATCATATTACTTGAAAAGTTCAATATTGTATTTTAGAGATAGTAAAAAGTCTCATGATAATTTTATTCTATTTTGTTATATTAAATACTTACAATTATAATTGTTATCACTGTTCTCAATAACTACTTTAATACTACACTCACAACTTTATATGGATTCACGTTTTCATCCACTTTAGACGTGCGGGTCCTGGCAAGGGTTGTTCGTCCATGGCATTTTCACCGCCAGTAGTGGTACATGATGGGCCAGACCCCATTTAATAAAATTGCTACAGTGAAGTAAAATATCAGAGCAATGGTTAGTTATTTACTGAAACTTTCATAGAAACTCTCAGTTAGCAAAGTGGTAATCGTAAAGCACCTCAACGCTATTGGAATAATGAAAAAGCTTAAAACTTGGCTTTCTCTTGTACTGTATGACCACCAATAAAATCTTTTTTAGTTTGCTCTACACCTCTTTTTCCAAAACAGAAACCAACCACTTCCGCCCTGCTCTATAAACCTCTCACATATCGACTACACTCCTTGACCTTTTTTTACACATCTGGTCCACCTTTTACTCATTCATTTCCAGAATTTATTAAAATATGTCGGTTCAACATTGTATTGTATTGACAGTAATATAGCATATTTTTATTATTAAAACTGTATGACTGTCAAAACAAGTTTGTGGATGTAAACGCTGGAATATTCTGCATGGTATATCCTGTATTTTTTTTCATTTAAATGTTCATCGACTTGAAACTTTGAATTAAATAAAAAAAATTGTGAACATTATCACATATTTACCAAAAAAAATTATGAAAGTTTTTTTTCTTATTTTTTATAAATAATCTTTGAAGCTTTGAATTAAAGAAAAAAAAAAAAAAAGTGATGTCAAAATGTCATCATACTTTTAGTGCTTAACACTTTTTTTTATCCACCTCTTCCTCGCCTTTTAGGCTATACAAGTTTTTTCCAGACCAGGAGGTTGGTGTTGCCCAAATGTGAGACCAAGGTCTTGGTCTTACGCACGAGTCTTGCAATTAACTATTAGCTGATTGCTATTTATTAAACATGTTACTTTAGATCTTTAAAAAACTATAGAATAGGTACATTTAGATGTTTTATTGACAAAAACCAATTAATAAAATTAAATGGACAATACGTTAAATGCATTGCCAAGAAAGATAGTTGCAGGCTTGGAATGAAAATAATAGGCCACCAATTATTTAAATAAAAAATCTGGTCCTCTCACATGACTTTCTTACCAATTTTAAATATGTTCATTAAAAACAATTAACTAACTAATAAAATTGTATATCATTGTGTTCCTTGCAGCTATTTATTTAAAAAAAGCCAATGGTCCCACAAAAAAAAATTAAACGCATTGTTCCAAAATGGTGTCCAACATGGCAGGTTGACCACTTTGATGACTTTTGACGTTATTATAGCTCTATAGCTATGCCCTTTATGAGTACTGAATGATGTAGAAAACAGTAAGCGTTACTGAAGAATTGCTTTTTCCGCTGATAAAGTGCATTTTCTAAGGCACCGTTTCAAATATTTTGAAAATTAATTACTGGTTTAAAAAGAGAAATTTATTGTCCTAATGTTTTATTCAATGCATTTTTCGTAATTTTTGGTCATTTATATACAAATGACGCTTGATTTTCAACATTAGTTTGAATAAATTGACTTTACCAGTGTTTTTATTGCCTAAACCAATTATTTTTTCATGTTTTATTATTCTCTGGCTATTCAGCTTTAACAAAATGCCAATTATGACATAATTAAACAAAATTCTGACTCTCAATGACCGAAAAACTAACTCAAGTCCAATTCGTCTGCCATTTTGGATAGTGCGTTCACTTTTTTTTTTGTGGGACCATTGGCTATTTTTAATAAACAGTTGCAAGGAACGCAAAGATATAAAATTTTTAGAAATGTGGAAAGAGGGTGAAGATGCCATGGATAAACAATCCTTGCCAGGATCCGCATATCCAAAGTGGATGAAAA